GGAGACGAGTAACGATGTCTCTACCATTATTAAAAAACAGTGGGCAAGACACTTCACCCCTAATTCCTCTGAAGTGTGTCCCATCAGTGTAGGTAGGTAGGTAGGTAGGTAGGTAGGTTTATGTTTACTTGTAGTTCCTGCTACAGGACTGCTGGAGGACAAACCACATCTGTGCCAAAAGTGAAGATTCAATCCAATCTGCTGCCTCCTCACATAGATAACCTTTATTAACATTTTTTCTAAACATTTGCTATAACAGCAGGAACTGACAACCTACCCCACCTACTCCCCAGCACCCTCCAGTAACTCTCAACCCCACCAAAATAAATACTTTCTCACAGTTCTGCTCACTATTTTTAGGCAAAAACTTTCCTCTGCAGATACGTCTGAAGACCTTTGACTATATAATTGTGTAATTGTAAAACAACGTACGTTTTGAACCTGGGACCTGCACCTGCCCCAGGTGTCACACCGGACCACTCCTCCTTTCTTGTCAGGATCAACATGAAGTGCAGACAAATCTGTGTGACGACTTCAGAATCATCAGAGCAGGTAAGAGCATCTCGCCTAAGTCGTCGCTTTTAAGTTTTTCCTTAAAACAACAAAAAACTTCAGTAAAAATGTACCATAGGGTCTAGATATTTTAAGATTCCTGACAAAGTGAAAAACAAAAAGATTTAGGGAATTATTCTAGAAAGGTTTAATCTCTAGTTTTCCGCCGTACCTTTAAATTTATAAAATTTCGTTAAATTAGTTGTCTTGTTTCACTGGCAGATTTCACTTAAAACACCCTAAATGCAAATATCTGTCACTGTTTTTTTTCTCATCTCCATCAAACATGAGTAGAAGCTCCTGGTTGATCCATGTTGCTAACGTTAGTTTGCTAAACCTTAAGGCTAATGCTAATGAGCCACAAGCTGTTGAGCAAGGCAGCATGACCAGCAATGAATTTGAAGGAATAATGTTGGGTGGAGACGTTTCTGATCGTTAAACCTGTTTGTCACCTTGTGGACCCACTGAGTTCACCTGGAACTCCTCAGACTGAAGAAGTCTGTTGGAGGAGAGAAGAAACATGGTTTCAACAAAGAACCTGTCCACAGAAACTATTTAACTTTATTTTTAGATTTTTCTACCTAGATCATTGAGATGCATGAAGACGTGTAAGATTTTCAACAATTAATTTTTTTAAACTCTACTGGGGATGAAATATTTCCTCCCCTTTCTGTCCCCGGTCAGTTTTTAAACCCACATCAAGCAGATTTAGTGAAGCGTCTCAGGCTGAGCTGTGAGTTTCTCAGGGTCTTTGCAGAGCCTGATGTGTCATATTATTCATACGGCTGATTGAACTCCACAGCCTCATTAGCTCAGCAAACTCTGTGTTTTCCCATCGAAACAAACTATGAAATAAATCCTCACACATGACCTCCAGCAAATCTACCTTTTCCTTGTCAATCAGAGGTGAAGTTGAAGCAATCTAAAGTTTGACAGCAGGCAGCAGTCCATGTGTGATTTTTCCAAAATAAAACTGTTCTTTCAGGTTTTGTTCTTTAATTCCTTAGAAAAAGTGAAAATAAATCCTCATGCCTGTGCTCTGTGGCATTTGTTTCCTCAGTAAGGAAAACGAAACCTTTCTTTTAGTTTCATTTATCACAGCAGCACATAAAGCGTCTGCTGCTGCTCTGTGCTGGAAACAAACAGAAGAGGATGAGTCGGCTGCTCTCAGACTCCTGACAGTAAGTCAAATAATTATAAATATTAATAACTCTTGACTGACTGATGCAAAGAAAGGATCTTGACAATGAGCCTGAGTGTTTTGTTTGGTGTCTTGTTCTTTTAAATTTGACAAAAATATATCAAAATCTCTAAACCACTAGAATTTACTAAATAAACAATACACGTTATATTATATATATCAATATTACTGTACAAAAAAAAGTAAAAGCTAATATAATTTTCCCAGTAATATGTAAGTGTTTTTTCTGGACAGCACATAAACATGAATATATTAAACATAAACATAAACATGAATATATGAAGTAACTTCTACTCTTCTGGACTAAAACTGAGGCTGCATGCACACACAAAGGCTGCTGCTCCTCATTCCCTTGCTTCACTTTTCAAGGAG